ATACTAAGGGTCAGTATATAAGTCACCGTGCAAGGTTAAAAAAGAGGCTTTTCTATTTTTCGGGCTTTTTCATTCTTGACGAGTGTTCATCGTCGTCTCCTGCCCATTTGCTCTTTATTTTCTCTGCACTAAGTAACTAATCGTGGTTCTCCGCTAAACTAAAAAAGGGTGAACTGTTTACATCTACGTAACTCAATTTTTCAATCAACAATTGGTGCAGTGAACATAACACCTCCCAAACAAAAGAATCAGATTAACCCCCAAGAGCGTAATAACTAGTCCTACCTCTCATCTCCTTATCAAACATTCCATGTAATTCCACAACAAACCATATGTTGAAAAAGTTTACTAGTGTTATGGCATGTGATAGGTTTATTGAAACTGATTTTTTACGAGAAAGATAGATTTATTGAGGTAAGTTTCTAAGAGAAGAAAACCATCAAGCTGATGTTTTGTCGATATGGATTGCTTTCGTAGAAATCAAAGAGAGGGAAAATGTACTGCTTGAATACAAAGCCTATCCAAACTATATGCTTACACATGTCTTGTTCTTAGATGAAGGATTGAATTGGATGACGCATATCATCAAGGTCATTTCAGATGAAGAAGAACCAAAGGATCCCAACGAGAGAATTAAACTACGCAATAAGGCTGTCATATTTACATCTTACTTGATAGAGTATTGTATAAGAAACTTCTCTGAACCCTTCCTCTATTGCTTGGGTCTATCGAAGGCAATTATGTTTGAAGCAATAAATTTGATGCTCTTGATAGTTCCTTTATTTGGGCAACGTCTTTTGACGTGATTACTCTCAATTCTATTACCATCTAAATTTATTATGACAGTCGAATTCATATTAATCGGTGTCGTCAATCTTAAGACCGACACCAACACCCTATCGTTTAGTGTCGAAGAGATAAATATATATATCCCCACGAGCAATACTAAGTGAGGATCTTGAATTCCGCACCTGCTGTTCATCATCATTTGCTAATCATTTTTTTCCTCTCTCTAAACCGTCACTGACGGTAATTCTCATACCATCAACATATTTAATGACAAGAAATTACTGATGACTGAAGTGTTCATTTTAATTAAGCTAAGGTCATTGTATTCGGTGAAAGTATCGAAGGAAGTGTTGTCAATTTCAGTCACAATGGTGAGACTGCCCGCTTTGGGGTGGCGTGTTGCAAGACCATTCAATTTGTTTTAAAGTTCAATAAATTGTCTTATTGCTGAGAAATATATATATATATATAATCTTTGTTTTTATTAAGATTATAGTTTATACAAAATTACCTTCAAATTTAGTTTTAGTATTTTAGTTTACAAAAATAAAATGTGTGTTGTAATAAATTGACAATGATTTAGTATAAAATTATAGGGTGAAGTACACAAATGATCCCTCGACTATAAGATGTAACTTTGTTAAGTTTTCTGACTATTAAAAGTTACAAATTGGTCTCCCTACTATAAAGCATTATTTTGTTGAGTCTCCGGACTATTAAAAGTGATAAAATGGTCACCTGACTATTCATATGTTCCAAACTCATCATTTTTGGTTAAAAAATTAACGACCGCCTGAGTTTGATATTAACCTGCTAATTGAGATATGATAAAATCATATTTTAATGATGTCTACTGACATTGTTGTTGCTTTCAAGCATTGACCCAACGACATAATGTTTCAAGCGTTGATTCAACGACATAATGTAAATGGAGAGTCGATCCATAAAATACAACTCAAACGGTTCCGACATCAAATTTTATCATATCCTAATCAAAAGGTTAATGTCCAGCTCAAACTTCAACCAATTTTTTTACAAAAAAGGACGAGTTTGAAACATATGAATAGTCAAGTGATTATTTTGTAACTTTTAATAGTATGATGATTCAACAAAGCAATGTCCTACGGTTGAAATATCATTTATAACTTTTAATAGTTGAGAGACTAAACAAAATAACGCCGTATAGTTGAAGGACCATTTGTGTACTTTACCCAGAATTCTAATAATTTGTCAATAAATTGAAACTAAATTACCCTACGAGGTTTATAAAGTGGTTTAGTTTAGACCAAAATCAACATGAACCAACAAATTTAAGAAAAGGAAAAATAACTTTTAGGCTTTAAATTGATAAAATTTATAATTTACTTCTTGAATTTTATTTTGATCCATTTAATGTGAATTTGATAATTTCAATTTTAATTCTTTTAATTATATGATATTTTAAGGGCTACTCTCGAGATAATGTTCTCGAATAATTAATTCATTCACAGATAATGCACTCCTCAGATTAATTGCTCAAATAGGGTGAAATCTACAGTGTTGGTCGTAGGCGCCATGCCATCCGGCGACCTACTAGGTCGCCATGTCTTCCCGGCGAGCTATGAGAGAGATTGCATGTCATGCACGTTCCAACACGTTGGGCATCTGAAGGCATCCGACCGAGGGCATCCGACCGATGCCATTCGAGCGAGCTATGCGAGGGCATCCGAGGGCAAGGAATCACGCGAGGAGCAGGAGGAGTGCATGGCGACCTACAAGCGCCAGGAGTGCATGGCGACTATGCTGGGAAGCTGCCACGCCGTAGGTCGCCCGGAAGGCATGGCGACCTACGGCCAACACTGTGCAATTCACCCTATTTGAGCAATTAATCTTGGGAGTACGTTATATCGTTAAATAAATTTTCGAGAACATTATCTCGAAAATTTTGCCTATTTTAAGATCATATTATATCATTAAAATAATTAAAAATAGATAAAAAAATAGATTTAAGACCCATGTGAACTAAAAATATTTAAAGAACAATTTTTTTAAAAAACAATTAAAAGTCACCTATCTCGACCATTTTCAAATCAAATACACAGAGAAAGCTACGAGAAAATGAAAGCGGAAATAATAACAATATGTAAAGTCAAAGTCAATCGTTGGTTTGCTGACATGGCACGATCATTGGTCAGAACTCAAAGCTAAGAAATCTGAGAAGCAAACGGAGTGGGGGTCCCACATAGCAGTTGCAATAATAGAAGTGAGTCCCAACTCCCGTATTCGGACGGCAACAGCCGAAACACATGGTGTAATAAAACGGCGTAGCATCAGATAGCCGCTCTATCGTTGTTATTTTGCTCTCGAGTCGTGAGTGGTATCCCGTGTTGGGTGCAGTTCAAATCTTGTGTCATTGACTTCTAAAGTCCGTAAATTTTCAGAAAAAAATATCTATTCAATTTTTTTTATCATAATAGTATCTAAAAATTATTTAAAGAAATAATATTATTTTTATCGTATAAACAGTTTTTATAATATGGGTAAACGAGGTAGTATCTGTCCAATTATAACTTTCAACCATTTGACATTAAACACTCGTACCCTGGACATTTTTTGTACTCGAACTCGAGACCTTAAGAAAGTGATTGATTGAATAGGAAATATATAGATTGTAATTCGTGTCTCTCATTAAAAAAATTTAAAATTTAGAGGCCTGATATTTTAACTGTAATTTTTTCTTTGAATAGACTGTGATAATTATAAAGTAATATTTGTTCATAATCTAAATTGATATTAGATAAAAGTCGATTACTAATATTTTAAAATAAAATTTAATTATTAAATCAAATAAATAGAAAACATTATTTTAATCTAGATGGATATTAGATAATGAATTGCTTTAATATAAATGCATTATAAATGAATAAAATCGATTGTGAACTATGTACTTATGTATTTATTGTCATTTTAATTTCATTTTTATTTTATATTAGTTGCCTCTATTTATTGTGAGACGAATTAATCAATTGTAAGTATAATTACAATTGTAATTTTTTTAGAATTCGAACATTTAAAAATAATTAGTATCTAAGATTGCAATCTCCTTATACCAAAAGAAGAAAAAAATTCAAAATATCAATGGTGATTTACTATTAAAAATCATACCAACATTGTTCACCACATCTTAAAAATATTATTATTAACATAAACTAAACGGTCTCGATAGTAAATGAATTGTTGTTATTCATTGAGATCTTGGGTTCAAGCATTCTTAATATCAGAGATGAGCATTCATTGTCAAATGATTAAGAGTTATCTTTGAGCATATATTGTCTATACTTACATCAGATTAATAAAAAATAATAACATTATTCGAATTAAGTTATCTCACAGTAAATGTTGATCATGAACAAGATTAAATTATTAAAATAGTTTTCTTTTAATCATTTTTTTATTAAAATAGTACTCTAAAGATCATTAATTTCTAAAATGACACATATTTTTGTCACATAAGAGAAGGTATGTGTCTATGAAAAGCTTTTTTTTTTCAAAGAAATACCTTTACTTACATGATAAGTCACATGGATTATTTCTCCAACGCTGACATTATTCAATACCAAAATAAAAAAATAAAATATTAAGCTAAAAATTACATAAACTTTATTAAAAGAAAAGTATTGGGTCAAAATATATTAAAAATAATTAATAATTAATTTATTTTTAAATTTTATATAAATTATGAATTTAATATTTTTATTTTAAAAAAATAAATATCATAAAAAATTTAGTTAAAATTATTAAAAATTTTAATTTTAAAATTTTCTCGTATTTTTTTTAATTAATTTATATCCTTTAAAATTATAAGTTAATACAATTTAATGTTTTTTTAATAAAATATAAAGTTTTGGAAATTACACTAAAGGTTACTAATTTAGTGTTCTTTTAATAAAAGTTATATAATTTCTAATTTAATTTTTATTTCTTTCATTTTGTTGATAATGTCAATGTTAAAAGAAATAATATGACCTGTCACATAAGCAGAAATATTTTCCTTAGAAACAACTTTTCAAAATTTTTAATATAATTTTAATAAAAAAGAATTAAATGATATTATTTTAATAATTTAACCAATGAACAATGAATGAGAATTAAGACATTAAATAATAAAGAATTATAATATATGATAAGACCGAGAGAGAAATGGGTGTGTGAAAATGAAAGAGGTGGATTCCTTGCACCTCCCATCGACTTCGAGAGCGTAGCTTCGGTTTTAGCTTGGTGTCTGGACTCCCTCTCTATTTAGCCTTTCTTTATTCTCTTTTCATTTTGCATCTCTCTCTCTCTCTCTCTCTCTCTCTCTCTGCTCGCCGCCTTCTATTCTCTCTCTGTAATCTCACTCATTACCTCAAGACTTCAAGCTGGCGATCGAAAACCAAGAATCCACTGTGAAGCCCAAGAACAGAAGAATCATGGTAAAAAAAAAGACTACTCCTTTTTCGTATTTGTCAATTCAGCTTTTGTTTCTTTTCAAAATTTTCTCTTGTTTTCGCTACTTGGATATTGATAAGATTGCGTTTGATGAGATTGGATTTGTGTGTTCTTGATAGGGAGCTGATGGACCCGATGAAGAAGATAACAGATGGCCGCCATGGTTGGAACCTTTGTTGAGAGAACATTTCTTTGTTCAATGCAAACTTCATGTTGATTCTCACAAGAGTGAATGCAATATGTACTGCTTAGATTGTATGAATGGCGCTCTCTGCTCTCTCTGTCTACCTTATCACAAGGACCATCGTTGTATTCAGGTTCAATATTTTTTTGCCCTTTTTTTCTTTTGAAATTTGCTTCATTTCCTAATTCATCTTATGGAGATATGAGGAATCCCGTTAGTCAATCTCCTTTTGGCATTCATGTTTCCAATTCTGGACTTCTGTTTTTTGTCCTTTCTTAGAGATTGTTTTCAATTCTGAGATTCTCCTCCAAGTTTATTTCTTTTTGCTCTGTTTTTTTTTCTTGAATGTACTAAAAAGACTGGAATTTTCACATTTTCTCAACATCCAAGCAGGCATTGACTCAATCTTGTAGACCTTTTCTCTGTTTTGTAAATGATTTTCGCTTATTTTCTTTTCTATTGTCATCCAAAACATTAGTGGTTTTTCAATCTAACAATCAATCCCACCAAAAAAAAACTCCTTAATTTGTCCTTTGTTTCTAACAAGAAACCCAAATGTTTTTTCCCCATGAAAATGGGTCAAATCTGATTTTGTATTTCTTGGCAGAAAAGGCCATAAAACTCAGAACTTTTCCATTAACTTACTAATTCGATTGCTCTGTTCTTTTTTTTCCCCTTTTTCCTACAGATCAGGAGGTCCTCGTACCATGATGTGATAAGGGTATCGGAGATACAAAAATACCTGGACATATCTGGTGTCCAAACTTATGTTATTAACAGCGCCAAGGTCGTCTTCATCAATGAGAGGCCTCAACCAAGGCCCGGAAAAGGTGTCACCAACACCTGTGAGGTCTGTGACCGTAGCCTCGTCGACTCCTTCCGATTCTGCTCTCTCCGTTGCAAGGTGAATCCCATGTTTTCTCTTTAATCAATTTTCTCGGTAGTCAACGGTGTTGTTTGGTAGTTGAGAAACTGTACGATTAGTCAAGGTTCCAGTTTTCCAAGCAAAAAACCAAAGTAGTCAAATTTGCTTAATTTTTGTTTGGCGAAAGATATGTTGACTTGTTCTTCATTCTAATTGGTTTCCACATTTACTTTTTCAAATTTCAGATTGTGGGCACATCAGGAAGTTTCCCGAAGAAGAAGAGGCACATCTCCGCCGTGGCATCGGACTCCGAAGACTCGAAATGTAGCCATGGAAAGCTGAAGAACCACAACAACAAAGTGCAGAGCTTTAGTCCTTCGACACCGCCTCCGAGTACGGTTAATTACCGAACCGCGAAACGGAGAAAGGGGATTCCCCATCGAGCCCCAATGGGAGGACTAATCATAGAATATTAGTCATAGACATAGCGTTGTGCCTTTTTGTCCTCAAAGGCCGTCATTGTCACTATTGTGTATATAATTACATGAGAAGCAGGAACCAACAGAGCGTATAACTGGAGAATGATGGGAAAATAAAGCCCCAAAATATGTCAAAAGGAGTCCACAATGATTATACATAGGTTCTTTAGCAAATAATGATGTGAAACCAGATATGTAAATAGGGTTTCTTTTTCAAGTTTTTGGGTTTGGGTAGTGGAAGAAAGCCACGTACTGTGTGCAAATGCTTATAATTTTGGGTTATGGAAATGAAATAATAGTAAGGTTGGTCGCTTATGATTTGATTGATTGCTTTCCGTTATTGGAGCGTGGTTTCCTTTTCCTGGCGAGTGGCACGTGTGGGATTGGATATGTCTTGAAATTGTGTGTTTTGGTCGTGTCCACTGTCCAATACCACCATGGTTAGGTTAGCCGCCACTCGCTGAAATCGTTGAACCGTCCACGTATCGAAATGTCATATTCCACGTGTGAATCCACAACTAGCCAGACCAGCCACATACCATTGTCTTAAAACATAGAAAGGAAAGCAAAAAACAAAAACATCCATCGTCATTGATGATCTGATCCATCACGAGGAACCCGGGGAACATGGAATATGGATAAAGTTGTTCGGTTTCGGCCTAGATACTTGTAATAATTTTAATATATATATGGTGTGAAGTAAATATAATATATGTGCTTCCAAGATTTGCAACGACGCAGCCCTGGCCGGCAATATAATAATGGAAAGATCGTGCGATGTGCATTTTGGAGATGGAGCGGCAATCCGGCTGTTGGTTTACACTTCCCTCCACCTCAGTGAGGGAGCGAGGTTGAGTTAGCGGTGGATTAAATATATTTTCATAATGAACATATCATACATACATATATATTAATAATATAATTTTTTGTACAAACAAAATTTTATGATAAATATAACCAATCAAATAAATAAATAATAGAAAAAAATTAGATTTCAATCCGCCACTAGGTTGAGCCCACGTGACATTAATGAATCCACCATTAAAAGCACATGCATTCCAGAACTGCTGTGTCTGCTCTGTTCCAGTAGGAGTGGGATTTCTGTATGGGACTGGCTGACCATAAGCAATCAAATATTTGTTTAAGTTGTGGAAACTCTTTCACCCCGAATACTATATGTATGTAAACAATTTAATCCATGCATTTAATTATTATAAAATTCCAGCTTCTTTTACACTAAAAAACAATATATTCTAATGGATATGGTGGTGAAATCGTAGGATATCACATTAAAGAAAAGGAGAGTCAAAAGAAAGTGGGCAAAGGGGGATATCTCTCCACTACCTTTTGTGTTGTTTCAGTGTTGTGCTTTTGATATGAAATATCAAATCACTCTCCCTCTTTTTAAAAAAAACATTTTATGTGATTTAATTATTAATTAGATTATAAATATGTTTTTTTTTCTAATTTAATAACTTTTTAATTGTTATATCTATCGCGGCCGTATTTCGGTTGGGCCCGGATTTAAGTTTCGATGTGAATGAATTGGGTTAGAGTCGCCACATATCATTTAAAAATAATTTTAGGTTGATCGGACACCATCTTACCTGATCTACGTTTTACCAGAAATGTGTCGGGTTCGGGAGTCAATTACGGTCAAGGAAAGATTAGCACCCTTGAATCACTCTTTCGGTACCAATTAATTTGTCGGTTGTCTTAATTACGAAAATTTAAAATTAAAATTAAAATTTAAAAAACGTTCGATTCAAATTACTTACTTTTGATTAGTTAAAAAGTATCCCTAAAGTCAAAAATATTGTTAGATTGAAAAAAAATAAAAAGAGAAAGAGAAAAATATTAATATAATAATAATAATAAAATAGATAACAAAGATAAATAAAAATTAGTAAAAAATAATATAAATAAATAAAAAGGACCAAAATGAATGATGTTGAAAAATGGCATGACTAAGCAAGGATTAACCCTTAGAAAATCCAAAATACTTCAATTTGCACAAACAAATTTAAAAGGAAAACACAATATTTAAAGGGAAAACACGTCAATTTACGCAAACAAATGGTTATTAGCTTATGGGTCCCACTTATAATATATTAAAAGGGGTTAGGAGGGCAAGGATCATGGAGATTATTAAAGTTGTCAAACGATTCAAGGGAATATTTGATGATACCATACCATGTCATCATTGCCCGTAAAAGACAAGTTAAATTTTCAATTGGATTTGCGAGGTTTCAAAGGTAGTATTATGTGCTAAAAAAGATTAGACTATCCCACAATAGGAAAGTTGTTGAAAACAAACCAGTAAATAAATCGGAAGCTGGAATGCCGCTAGATAATTGCAGAATCTTCAACTGAACAAGTAAAGACGGACCTCGAACTAGAATGAAACCGCTTAGAGTAAGCCGGGACCTGTTTCTGACGCAAAGGGAAAAGATATGCAAAGGTTTTTTTAGGTGCCTCTTCTAGCTTGAGCGATCACGTCTTTGTCTTCTTCAAACACAGATATCCTCTGTCGGACGCTAATTTGCTCGAAGTTTAAAGGGTTGTTCACCGTTTTAATGCTTTGATTCTTCTTTCGCAAAGTTTTCTTCTCATTCTCGGATATTTCGATTTTTTCAGGATTCCTTTTCCCCCTGTTTTTCCAAATCGTTGCCCCTTCCTCTGATTTTGGTTTCACCTTTTTCCCCGTTGCGTTTACAAGCATGCCTATTTATAATGTTTAGAAGCCTAGTTCCGTTTGATTTTAGACTTCTAATGATGTTGTACAACTTGCTTGTTTGTTGATGATGTGGGTGTTGGTTGTTGTCGAGAAAACCAGTCGAAAAATCGAGGCTTTGTAGATAGGGAAATGCGGCTGCGGTTGGGTGGGAATGGTGAGAAATCAGGGACGTTTTGTTACGGTTAAAAGATGGAGTCTTCAAGGTCGAAAATTAGTGTCTACAGTTGTCCCTATTTGTCCTTTATCGTGGAACGAAAAATAGGACAAAGATAAAATGATACATTTTCGTTCGATGGAGTTGAAAATTGAATCTGATATTTCAATTAAAAATAATTCCCTGTCGAATTGAGTTGCGGATGACTCCTCCGTCGCGAAGTCGAGTCTATCTTGAAATGATATGGAATTGAAGCCGTAATTCGGAATTTGAATCGAAATGTGGCTTCTCGTTACCAAATTGTAGTCAACTTCGGTCTTTTTCTCGGTTTAAAGACATTGGTTTAAAAATTTGACTGGAAAATAGTTCATTGACTCCACCATGTGGTTGATAGTCTCTCGAGATCGAACTCAGAAATCTTCGTTGACAGATAGCTTTTCTGGACTTAAGTTGTGCTGCCGGAAAACGGTTTCTTGTCACTAAGGCACGGCTTACCCAGGTCTTCTTCTCGACTTGAAAACCTCGACTGCAACCGAAAAATATTGTGATTGATATGTCATCGAGCTGAATGGAATCGAACTCGACAATTTCGTTGACAAATAGCTCTTATTACATTGAGCTATGCTGCAACTGATGTGCCTTTGAGCTGAATGGAATCGAACTCGAAGGGTCTTTGATGACAGATAACCCCTCTAGCTTGAGCTATGCTGTAAATTTGATATGCCTTTGAGCTGAGTGTAATCAAACTCGAAGGTCTTGGTTGACAGATAACCCTTCTCGCCTTGAGTTATGCTGTAAATTGGACATGCCTTTGAGCTGAGTGTAATCGAACTCGAAGGTCTTTTGTTGGCAGATAGCCCTTCTCGCCTTGAGCTATCCTGCAAATGATGTGCCTTTGAGTTGAGTGTAATCGAACTCGAAGGTCTTTTGTTGGTAGATAACTCGAAGGTCTTTTGTTGGCAGATAGCCCTTCTCGCCTTGAGCTATGCTGCAAATGATGTATCTTTGAGCTGAGTGTAATCGAACTCGAAGTTCTTTTGTTGGCAGATAACCCTTCTCGCATTGAGCTATGCTGCAAATGATGAGTGTAATCGAACTCGAAGGTCTTTTGTTGGCAGATATCCCTTCTCGCATTGAGCTATACTACAAATGATGTGCCTTTGAGATGAGTGTAATCGAACTCGAAGGTTTTTTGTTGGCAAATAGACTTTCTTGCCCTGAGTTATGCTACAAATGATGTGCCTTTGAGCTGAGTGTAATCGAACTTGAAGGTCTTTGGCATATAGCCTTTCTTTCCTTGAGCTATGCTGCAAATAATATGCTTTTAAGCTAAGTGTAATCGAACTCGAAGGTCTTTGTTGACAGATAACCCTTCTAGCCTTGAGTTATGCTGTAAATGATGTGCCTTTGAGCTGAGTGTAATCGAACTCGAAGGTCTTTTGTTGGCATATAGCCCTTCTTGCCTTGAGTTATGTTGCAAATGATGTGCCTTTCGAAGATCTTTAGCAGATATCCCTTCTTTCCTTGAGCTATGCTGCAAATAATGTGCCTTTGAGCTGAGTGTAATCGAACTCAAAGGTCTTTGGTAGATAACCCTTCTTGCCTTAAGTTATACTGCAAATGATGTGCTTTTGAGCTGAGTGTAATCGAACTCGAAGGTCTTTGGCAGGTAACCCTTCTTACCTTGAGCTATGCTGCAAATGATGTGCCTTTGAGCTGAGTGTAATCGAACTCGAAGGTCTTTGGCAGGTAGCCCTTGTTGCCTTGAGCTATGCTGCAAATGATGTGCCTTTGAGCTGAGTGTAATCGAACTCAAATGTCTTTGGCAGCTAGCCCTTCTTGCCTTGAGCTATACTACAAATGATGTGCCTTTAAGCTGAGTGTAATTGAACTCGAAGGTCTTTGGCAGGTAGCCCTTCTTGCCTTGAGCTATGCTGCAAATAATGTGCCTTTGAGCTGAGTGTAATTGAACTTGAAGGTTTTTTGTTAAAGGTGCTTTTGAATCGAGTATTTTCCATTTTGGAGTCGAAACTTGACCCTAAAAGCTACAAAACATTATGTATGTGAAAAAAAAATGTAATTATCTTAAGTATGTCTAAGATGCATGCAAT